TGTTCGTTAACCGAAGCAATTTTTCCCATAGAAATTAATGCAAATGCAATTAATCCGTTCTAGTCTCCGAAATTTTTGTGATTTTATTTGTAATATACAGTAATTTTCTTTGATGAAAATGTAAGAAAACGTAGTATCTATCGTTACAGCAACAAACATGTAAACTTTGTTTAATAAAATAGCACTGTACATACCTTCGTTTGTTGTAGTTGGTGGCAGAAAAGTGGAGATGTACGAACCTTAATGCTTAGAAGGGGAATCCCCTCCAAAAAATAACGGGTAGCACTTCATTGGAAGATTCTTCCCGTTGAAGTCTCTTTCGGTAAAAAAAAAATCCCACCAGTGGCTAAGTGGTCTTCGTACCTTGAAACACGGGGGAGTTCGTTTGTGGGTTCGCACCTTGTTCAAACGGGCTGGCCACGTGGAGTTTTCCGGGTTTTCTCCACGCCTGTAACGCCTAAATAGGGGCCAGTTTCCCTTAAAACACCTCCCAGAAGGCATTCCCCTAGGCAGATCGCCCAAGTGTTGCGTTGCCATAACTTAACAAAGAAACAAACTCTTTCCACCTAAGGAATTGATCTAAAGTTGATTGTCTTACTCTTTTAATCAAAATTTTTCTCAAATGCAATAACGCATTGTAGTTTATATTGCGTTGTCGTTTTCTATTGCCACTATGACNGTTTTTTTTAATTTTTATACCAAGAACTTTATGTGCAGCTCCCAATATTTTTAGGTAGGTAACTAGGACTCTTACAGCAAAAAGTCTGGGCACTCCTGGTATAGAGAACACTTGGAATTGTATAATGAACTAGCTTACCCGTCGCGCATTGCTGCGATCTCAGAAGAAACGAAATTCAAGCAAACTCGTTATAATAAAATTAAATTTACATTTTATTATTTTTATTGAAACTTATTATTAATGTTGTCGTTTTCTATTGCCACTATGAATTTTTTCTTTCTTGGATGCCATATTGATTAAATATATAAATCACAAAATTGAAAAAAGAAGTATAGCACAAACACTCGGAAAAGCAATGCTTAACTTGCGCATGCCTAACATCAACTAAAATTTGACACAAAATACCGTTACGTTCGTTATCCGAGTTTTGTTCGTTATCCGAGACAAAATTTTTGCGAAATGAAAGTTCGTTAACCAATTTGGTCGTTAACCAGGACGTTCTTATAAACCAAAAATATTTATTTTAAAAAACAAATAGGTGACTCCAACTCATGGTTTTAAACGAGGAATGAAATTAGAAGCAGTAGATAAAAAAAATAGTTCTTTAATTTGTGTAGCTACAGTGTCTGATGTTTTGGAAAATAGATTTTTAGTACATTTTGATGGTTGGGAAGATGATTATGATTATTGGACAGATCCCACATCACCTTTCATTCATCCGGTTAACTGGTGTAGTGAATTTGGTCATGTTCTTACACCGCCAAAGAGTAAGTTAAATAAATATATCTTTCTTAATTACCTAATTATTCTATTATTATTATTGTTGTATTTTAAAACTAAACATTGCTATTAATTAATTGACTGTAAAGCAAAAAGTATCTGTAATAGTTACATATTTATTAGAATTAGTATATTTATTTATCTTCTAAATACATCAATACTGCTAGAAAAGCCATCTCTCAAGTGACATACAAATGAATAACATTTATATTTTATTAGATATATTCCAGAAGAATTCAGATAGGATATTTAGATAATATAACATTATTGTAATTTACATATATATATATATATATATGTA